GAGGGGAGAGGGAGGGAAAGAGAAAGAAGAAAAAAAGAAAAGGAAAGAAAAAGAAAAAGAGAAGAGAAAAATAAAGACAAGAAAGGAAGATATCATAATGACCAGACTCACAACACCCTGGAAACCTTCTCCAGTTCAAAAACTGTCATAACTCCTTTGATCTATGCTGCCCGATGGCTTAACTACTGGGGGACAAGGGGAAAATATCTATCTTTCAAAAATCTTCCCCACCCCTTTATAAATGCCCTTTTCATCCCCTGAAAGTGCTTAAAAAACCTCAAATTTTGCGCGCATTTCTTGTTAGCATGGGTCAATTTCTTCTAAAAATTGCACATTTTAGGGAGTTTTGATCAATTCCAACGAAATTAGAATTAAAAACACCGGGGGACAAGGAAAAATATCCATCTTTGGAAAATCTTTCCCCACCACTTGACAAATGCATCCTCTGAAAGTGCCTAAAATTCTTAAATTCTTTGCTCGCATTTCTTGTTACGGTAGGCCAATTTTCCTCTATAAATTGCACATTTTAGGGAGTTTTCATCAATTCCGACGACATTAGAATTCCGACGAAATTAGAATTTAAAAAAAAAATATTTTGCGCGCTTCGCGCGCATTTTTTAGGGCTTTTTTAGGTCTATCCTTTTAAGTTATTTAAACACCTAAGCCTAATAATAGTCCCAAACTCAAGAAAGACAAATTTAAGATAGATCGTTTTAACCAAAAAGAAGGGCCTCAATATGTATTGATGGTGAAAGAATATGTTTGTAATAAATAAAACCATGATGAAAATGCTTATATTTAGTTTCAAACACACGTGTGTGGCCTATATTATAAATAAGACCCTATGTCGTATTGATTTTTATATGGGGAGTGGGGTGGTTTTGGTATGGTAAATTACTAACCGGAAAAATAAATACCCAAGACCCCTGTTACGCGCCTTGTGTTGGCGCCAATGTGTGCCCTTGTGCGGACATTGGATGTGCCCCCTCTGAAGCTGGAATTCTTGTTTTTGCAAAATAAATTGATGCAATTTGCTATTATAGGCCTAATCAATAAATTCCTCATCAACTGATATAAACTTAAACATTCTTGGAATTGACATAACATACTGATGTTGTTCACACCCTTAAGTGTGAAATGTGGCTCTCTTTGCAAGCACATCTAACATCTAAGGAAAGAAGAGCTTAGATTGGTACCATATAAAATAATTTTGTTTTCAACATTAATACATTATGCTAATTTTCATCTTTGTAAGCGCATAAGACAGTGCAAATTATTTCTGTGACAGTCTTTTGAAGTGTGTAAAACATTTTATCCCATACATAGTCAAAATATTGGGGGGATGATACAATGGACCATTCCCCCTTGTCAAATATTGGTGGGATATATCCCCCCGGGATCTACGCCTATGGGCAAGGGAATCATATTCCTGAGACGAGAAGATTCAGCAGGACACCTTTTGGTGTTACCAAGGGAGTTACAACCGATAGCCTTACGGCTACATCACGACATACCCTCTGCTGGTCATCAAGGAGTCGCACGAACGAAACACCGACTTAAAGCGAAATTCTGTTGGTATGGAATGGGGAAGGATGTTGAGCGATATGTTACAACCTGTGAAATTTGTAATCGCAGTAAGAAGACTACTCGTAAGGGTAAATACCCAATGACCGAGTTTCATGCTGGAGTACCGATGGAACGGGTGCATATTGATTTCCTATTACCCTT